TCCGTTTTTAGGTGAGTAGTTTCATGCTACGTATTTTTATAAATGTTCCCTTACCCTGAACTGTTGGAAAATTAAATTGTTATTTCATGATTATACTGTTTTGATAAATTATTATATTATCAATTGAATCAAATTATTTCTGAAACATGTGTGAACTTGGCATACTGTAAACTATTTGTTTTGGTCTCATGTTTATAATGATGAACCACCATGTTTTGCGAAACTGATGTGTATTGATTATTGGGACCATGTGTGTATTTAGTCCAGGGAAATTATTCCACTGTGTGTGGTGACTCTGGCCACTAGCGAACAGATCCGGGTTGGGCCATGATGACTCTAGTGCTCAACGATTGTAAGGAAAAGACCTTTAAAAATAACTAGGTGACCTTCAATCGGATCGTCTTTGAGAAAAGGCCCATGTGCCACCCTGAGGATGACTCTTAGTTCGATTTTGGATCCAACGGGGCTCATAGCCTTGAGAACTGTGTGGCAGATTATTTGTTTTTATTGGTACCCAGAAAATTATTGGTGTTCATGTTATAATCTGTTTTAAGTGGGAAATGTCGTTTATCATGTTCTTGCGAGACATGAGTATTTTAAGTGTTGAACTGTGGAACCTTCTTTTTGAAACAGATTGTATTTACCAAACTATATGCCAATCTAGTTTCTGTGATATATATCTTATTTTGGAATTGAACCCTGCTTTCAAAACTGTATTTACTATCCACGTTGCTACTCATTGAGCTATCAGCTGACTTAGTTGTTTACCATTTCCAGGTGTTAGAAGGACTTAGAGTGGACTCATGGCATAGCGGGGACTCAATTGCATGGACCTCTAGGGCATTCCTTTAGTTTAGAGTGTTATGTCAAGTTTGTGCATATTTATATTTATTCTTATCGAAGTTCATTTAGGATTATTTTTGATATGTGGGTTGTTTATATCCCATAAGTTTGGATGGTTTTTGATTACGGTTGATTTTGCCATTTATAATTGTGACATATTTGGATTGAGTTTTGGTTATTTATTATTGGACTATTGTTCAGTTGTTCAATGTGATTGGATTCGTGTTTAGGCTTACGTGTGCCTTGGGCTAAGTCCCTGTAGGCCACGGCCGGTCATGCCCGGATTTGGGGTGTGACACATTCCTAGGCCATGATTAAGACTCAATTAGAGGTAAAGACTTAGAAACACTAAGAATGAAACGAAAGAATTTAAGTATCAACCGAGTGTGTGTTTCATTATACGTATCTATTATGTTTGGTGTAGGTCACACGCTGTGAGCGGTAGATTCATTTGTTTACTACCAAGGCTATCTGTGAGTAATAACTCTGTAAAGTTATGTTGACTTTAATTATTTTCTAATGATACAAAATGATCAGTTTTTCTGAAATGCTATGCTTTGTGTGAATGAATGAATGTCCGATTTTCTTTGAAAAATAATTGTGGTATCCTTAGCAGAGGCCCTTGCCTAGGGGACATAATACTGTGGCTTATGGTCATGAGGCCTTTGCCCGGGGAGATAATATCGTGGAATAGGCCCTCGCCCGGGAAAAACAATACCGTGGCCCATGTATGTGATATATTACCTGGTACCAGAGGTTCCTTTTTGGAACTTGATATGCTTGACCAAAGAGACATGTTTATGCTAATGGATGTACCACATATGATTTGAATATGAATAAGACTATGACGTTGTTTCCACTATAAACCTGATTATGATTCTGATTTGCTTTGGGATTTGAAATATGTTCCTGACATCATTCATTAAAATCTTTACTCTATTATTATTCACTAGGCTTTCACTCACTATTTATATTATGTATGTAAGTGACCAGGCGCGTGACCAAACTCAAAGTTGAGGATCTGGTGTCTCTATTTTGTCAGCCAACCGTTATGCCTCCGAGGAGGTTCCCTTTTATGCACAAGTCAAGTCTATACGGCATAAGTTATGACCTAGTGTTAATAAGTAATACGATCAAGTCTTTTAATTTATGTGTTTTAGGGTATTTCTCTTTTGGGCTACAACTATATTAAATATGACGAAGATTACTACATTATGATGTTGCGTATATGCATATATATCATATAAGGTTTTAAATTTCTGTCCCATGTATTTCTGCACGGCTCTATGGACTACGTATTGTTAGTATATTTGCTTCCGCAGCCCCTAATTATCTGTTATTCTGTTAAGAGGCCTTTGGTAATCCAAGGATTACTGGCCGGTTACAACGCTAAACTTATAGGGACGGATTTGGGTCGTGACATAGTAGTATCAGAGCACGTGTTAAACTGCACACACGAGTCCATAAAAGGTATCGGATGTCCTAGAAAGAACTAGGGGCATTTTATCAGTATGTGTGAGTGTCTGATAATTGTTATACATGTGAAAACTGAATTTGAATCTGAATAAATAAAAATTAAAAGAAATGAACAAGATTATTCCTGTGTTTATTGTTACCTTTTCTCTCTTTAGCGAAATGGAGAATGCAAGGGAAAATAATATAGGTGAATCTTCCGGGGCCCGAATGAACAGAATGGAATAGATGCTTATGGCTTTGACTAAAGCCATGGCGCAACAATTGAGACAACAACCTTTACCTCCTCCGCCTCCGCCAAAATTAGCAGAACTAGACAATAGTGATATAATTAATTTGACTCAAAAATTTATGAAAATGAAACCGCCGACCTTCTTGGGTGGCAGTGAACCACTGAAGGCAGAAACATGTTATTTGAAGTATTCCCTTGCTCCACAACTCAGAAAGTACTCCTGGCCACCTACACTCTAAAGGATGAAGCCCGGAGATGGTGGCTGTTAGTCCGAAACAACGGCGGGGATATGACATGGGCTTAATTTAACGAGATATTCTACAACAAATACTTTTCCCAATGCTTCAGAGACCGAAAAGTGTCAGAATTCCAAGAACTTAAGCAAGGGAAGATGTTTTTAGCTGAGTACGAAGCTAAATTCACCGAGTTGGCCAGATTTGCTCCTCATATGGTTGACATAGATTACAAAAAGGCTCAAAAATTTGAAAGGGGATTAGATCTGGAAGTGTATGACCGAGTAGGTGTACTGAAATTGCCTACATATGTCGACGTCCTTGATAGAGCATTGATGGTAAAGGCCATCCTGGCAGCAAAGAAGCCAGCTACAACTCCAGTCACACCCCAAACCCGCCCCTAAAAGTTTGGGTATGGCCACTTTAGAAACGGACACTTAACTTGATATACACAAGATATAGCGCCTGAACGGAAGCATTAAATAACATAAAATCATATCCATTAAGCTACCACTATTATGCCAGGATCACAAACATTGCATCAGATAGATAAACATACAGAGAACATACACCTGAAAATTAGTTATGTACATCGCATATACAGACCCAGCCCCAAGATTGGGCATACAACAAAAGCATTGACTACAACAAGTTGGGCCTTGAGTGACGAAATTTTTTTGTCTTCAAAGAGCTAATTTCGTCACTATAGATATTTGTGAGGAAATATTTTCGTCACCGGTTTCGTCATTGAATGTTTGTCACTAAAAACCAACGTGACGAAAAATAATTTCCTCACAAATATCTATAGTGACGAAATTAGCTCTTTGAAGACAAAAAAATTTCGTCACTCAAGGCCCAACTTGTTGTAGTCAATGCTTTTGTTGTATGCCCAATCTTGGGGCTGGGTCTGTATATGCGATGTACATAACTAATTTTCAGGTGTATGTTCTCTGTATGTTTATCTATCTGATGCAATGTTTGTGATCCTGGCATAATAGTGGTAGCTTAATGGATATGATTTTATGTTATTTAATGCTTCCGTTCAGGCGCTATATCTTGTGTATATCAAGTTAAGTGTCCGTTTCTAAAGTGGCACCAAATAGTTATTCAGTACCATATTTATAACTTTAGTTGACGAATAAATTTGTCACGCATGTTGATCATTGATAAGGAAATAATTTCGTCGCAATAAGATGTAAAGGTGACGAAATTTTTCGTCTTCAAAAGTCATAATTTTATCACCAATAAAACAACATTTTGTTGCCAAAAATTCTCATTTTCGTCACCAAATAGTTATTCAGTACCATATTTATAATTTTAGTTGACGAATAAATTTGTCACGCTTGTTGATCATTGATGAGGAAATAATTTCGTCACAATAAGATGTAAAGGTGACGAAATTTTTCGTCTTCAAAAGTCATACATGGGTGACGAATAAAACAACATTTTGTTGCCAAAAATTCTCATTTTCGTCACCAAATAATTATTCAGTACCATATTTATAATTTTAGTTGACGAATAAATTTGTCACGCATGTTGATCATTGATAAGGAAATAATTTCGTCGCAATAAGATGTAAAGGTGACGAAATTTTTCGTCTTCAAAAGTCATAATTTTGTCACCAATAAAACAACATTTTGTTGCCAAAAATTCTCATTTTCGTCACCAAATAGTTATTCAGTACCATATTTATAACTTTAGTTGACGAATAAATTTGTCACGCATGTTGATCATTGATAAGGAAATAATTTCGTCGCAATAAGATGTAAAGGTGACGAAATTTTTCGTCTTCAAAAGTCATAATTTTTTGTCACCAATAAAAACAATTTATTTTATAAATCAAAATATATCCGTCAAACAACCTTAATAATAATCCATTAAGTATCACAAAAAAACCATCAAAGTAAATCCCGAAATAAACTAACGTGGAGTCCACCAAAAAAAATCAACACTCAATCTTAATTTGCAACTACAACTAAGCATCAGTTTAGGAAAAAAATTCAACGGTTGATCTTCATTTGCAAGTATGCTTCTGAACGTCATCAAAACCAATGTACAAAAAAAATAAACAAGGCAAACATTAGCATAGAATGTATATATATAAAGTTTATTATAATAGCAAAGTTTTATTATAAACTTAAAGCCAAATATCAGAAACTTAATAAATATACAGAACTGTTCTCAAGATCACAAGCTTGAAGTTATTTGAACAGAAATTAACAGAGATTAACTAAAAAGATGAATACCATGCTCATTCCCACCCATGGGCTTTGCAATGATCACCTTAACATGGCAATTCACTGTATCCCTAGAATTATGCTCGGATCAAAAACTGGCTGTGACCCACGGACAGCAGCCAAACCAGTTATAACACTACAACATCTCATGGTAAGAACCAAAGCATGCAGTCAATGAGAATGGGAAGGAACAAATATTGTGGCTGCTGCACAAATGGGATTTAAAAAAATTTTGAAGAGAGAGAGAGAGCAACAACCTACAATGCAAAAAATGGAAAACTGGACCATTAGCTGGGTGAGTTGTGACAGCAATGACCAAAATGGATGTAGATAATAAGCTTATTATTTTTAACATTAGCATTAAAAGGCCACGCACAAAACCTAAAAACAGCTCCCTTCTAAATTTAGAAAATAATACACACTGCTATACGTATTATTTTGTTTTAACATTGATTGCTTCCTTTTTTTTTTTTGATCAACAAAAACTTTATTGATGAAAGAACCTTACAAGAAGGAGAAAATACATCAATAAAGGGGACAAGAAAGGATAGGGGAGAGGGGGATGATGCACAGCACCAAAACCAAACTATTGGTGACGGACCAACAAGAACACAAAAAACAGAACAGACAGCAGGATAAAACGCAGACAGCAAGCTACCCATCCCAGCAAAGGTATATAGAAAATATACATCACCAGGCCTACAATTAGATTCACATCCGAAACTGAAGCAAAACTAAAGCAAAATTACCCAGACCAGCTGCCCAGCAGATCTGTCCACTCACACAGCATAGAGATACAACCAGCAAAGCAGAATGATACCAACAGCAGAGCATACAGATACTTGTGACTTAGGCTATATAGATACCAACATCCACAGATAGAAACACACCTAACAGCAGGCTATTATCTGACTTAGTTTTGTCTCTACTTTGGTTCGTGTGTATTTTAACTAGTGTCATGCTAAGTAAGAATTTTGATAATGAATCTATTTTCATTAAATACATCTTCAAACTTGTTAAATCTTAGTTAATAAGTAGTCAAACTATTGTACTTTAATTAGTATATACTAACCAACATGAGAAAAATAAAATGATAAAGCGAGCGAGACTTACCAAAAGGGCGATGTACGAGTTCATGGGATACCTCATCCTCTAAATTGTCCTTAGAAACCTTGCTTCTTAAGAAACTCCATGATGCTTGATGTGATCTCAAAATGCTCGTCAATCGACCCATTCATCTTCTCTATCTCTTTATTTTGTGCTTGAATTTCCTCTCTTTGTACTTGAATTTCATGTTTCTGTGCTGTAATTTCCTCTTTATGTGACTGAATTTCCTCTTTTTGTGACTAAATTTCCTCTTTTTGTGACTAAATTTGCTCCTTTTGCTCTTGTATTTCCATCTCTAGACGCCTCACATAGTCACTGTCAGTCGAAGCACTAGTAGTCCTAACAGAGAAGGAACGCCTCAACCCGAGTCCTTTAACATATCCCGACCTTAGCTTTAGCACCTTCACAGATAGCTCCTCCGGTGTAATTGGAACCACACCAGGTCGGGAGCAATGTTCAGCTTGGATCTTTATCATATTATCCTGTCATTTAAAAAAAAAATTAGAAAAATGAATAAAGATACAATTAAAATTACAATCATCCTAATACAAAAGGTAAATATACATACATAATTCTCTTCGCACTCCGGAGAAATCCACTGCTTTGTGACATCATTAAAGTGTGTAGATTTGTAAACACATGGCAACTCTGGCAGTTGGCCCCCATTTGCAATTGTCTGATTTTTTTTGTTCAACTAGTAAGTTAAATAAGAATGATGGTAGTAGAATCATCTTTAAAAAAAAAAAACCGAAAAAAAATTAAAGAAGACCCACCGCCTCGTGTACCCTAACTGGGAGAGATTTTGACCCACACCTATGCTTCGTCTTCAGTTGATTTCTATTGTCAATGTTAGCATTTGATTGCTTCTACAAGGAGCAAGTTCCAATAGAAAAATATATATATTAGGAAGACAAGGTAATTGTCAACAATAAATAAACATAAGAAAAGTTTACCAACCAATTGGTATCATTCCACTTCTTGTCAATCAAGTTTTTCCATTTCTCGAGGTCACATTCAGGCGGTGGGTGGCTTCTAGCATACTCCTCTCCCTTAGCACTTTTAAGGTTCAGGTATTTTTTTCGTAGTCTGTAGGTGTAGCTGCTCAAGCTTCGTCCACACTTTGTTGCCACCGCTTTGCTAACATTTGTGGAGTCACCTTCCATGTCAAATTGATCCTAGCAACAGCCACAAATCTTGTAAGTCTTAATTAATTATATTACATTAATTCAATCAATTATGTAAAACTTTTACCGTTAGACGCTGAAACATAGGTGCTGTAACTTCTTCGTTGACATGTTTCCACCTGCGAATGCTTAAGTCTGGCAAGTGTGTTCGGACCTCAACACCAATTTTGGAGACTAATTAAGAGGCATGATCCCCCACTAGTGCACGATACTCCTGTGGTATAGGAACTTTGAGCTTTCCATCTTTTTGAACCATTGCTTGAACCTTCAACCCGCGTGTCAAGCCACGAGGGTGTCTAGTAGGCACTGTTTTAAAGACATAACATTGACTGGTTAGCAATTAATTAAAGCGAAATCATAAAAGCAATATAAGTAACTTTTTTTTTTTAGTAAGTCATAAAATAAAATGATGACATATAGAGATATACGAGGGGCATTCCCCAGGCCTTACAACACCAAACAAAAAAAACAATTAGAAATGTAAAAGAGAAACAAAACCAAACAGATAAACTAAACTAAATAAACTATAAAGAGAATCATCCTAAAATAAACCACACAAAAGAATGTTCATTTGCCACATGAGGAAAAAAGCGCTATGAACATTCAATAGACTAGCCAAAAACAATACAAAATAAACTTGCACAAGCCTCGAGAGAAAAAGTAAGCAAAACTAGAAAATAAACCCAAGAAAGCCCTGAACAAACAGCACTAGCAGCAACCACACAGGTATAGCTGCAGCTTTCTTCCCTACTCTGAAGATGATGCTTTTCATTTCTCAAGTTATTTTCTCTTTTTCACAGTTATATTTGCAATTCTATTTTCTTGTTTCTTCACTCTTTTCTTTCCTACATCTGCAGCTTTTTCGTTCTTCTCTGTTACTGCCAATTTCTTCCCTACTCTTAGTTTTTGTTCAGTCTCTCCTATATAGCTGCTGTTTTGTTCTGCAGTTGCTGCAGTTGCTGATTCTTTTGCCGTACTGCTATTGCTTTCTATTCACTAGTCTCCTTCTCTATTTCTTCTATAGAGCACTAGTCTCCTTCTCTGATTTGGTAAGTAGTTCAGCTACTCTCACTACAATTTCAGTACCTTGGGTGCTTCCATCAGTGGTATTTTTATTTTTAATAGTTCCTATATTTTCAATTAATTTAATTTTTTTTCCCTTAAATTTGAATTTTGTATCAATTAGTCCAATTGATGATACTGATTAGGAGTTTTGACATAAAATGGTCACTAAGTTGATTAATTCATTAAGTCGAACATATTTATAATATGATCAACATGCTACTCACATGCACGTTCTTTAAAAAAGGAAAAAGAAAAAAAAGGGTTGACGATTGTAATTAATTACACTAAATCGAGACATAATTATAAATTCAGGTAAAGATTGTGCTAATTGCTATCCTTAGAATTTGGCCTAAAAGGAAAACAAAATTGTCTTTGAAACAAAAACAGGGCATGACCAAGCAGCTGATGGGAAGCCAAGGACATGAAATAGCAGCAAAAATGGATTCATACATGAGAGGGATGGTGGGTGGTTCAGGAGCAAGCTTGTTTGAAGAACTTGGGTTGTGCTATATTGGTCCTGTGGATGGTCATAATGTGGAAGACTTGGTTCATATCTTGAAGGATGTCAAGTCCCTCCCCGCACCTGGACCTGTTCTCATCCATATTTTAACTGAGAAAGGCAAAGGCTATGCTCCTACTGAGGTTGCAGCTGACAAGATGCATGGTGCACCTCTCTCCCTCTCTCTCTCTTTTAACACACATTTAATACTTTGAGGATAAAATTGAAAATAAATTAAACTACAAGGATGAAAATAGCACAAACGACAAAAAAAGTGAAAATTTATGGTTGTAGCATGGGGCTAATAAATTGGTGTTGGTTTTTTTTTGTAGGTGTGGTGAACTTTGAACCAAAGTCAGGGAAACAATTGAAGACAAAATCAAAGACAAAGTCATACACCTAATACTTTCCAGAGTCCTTAATTGCTGAAGCTGAGAGAGATGAGAAAATAGTAGCAATCCATGCAGCAATGGGGGAGGAACTGGACTGAATCTGTTCCAAAAACGTTCTCCAGAGAGATGTTTCGATGTCGGGAGCAAGCTTTTTAATAGTTCCTATATTTTCAATTAAATCAGTATCATCAACTAGTCTCCTTCTCTGTTTAAGGTTCAGGTTTTTTTATTTTTTTATTTTTTCCCTAGTTTAATAAATTCTTGCACTTTCAGCAAAAGTAGATAACAATCTGTTTCATTAAACATAACCTGCAATGGCAACAACAATGGCAATGGATTGGATGCCACATCTTTACCACAACCTGTTTTGAGTTTCCAGAACGTCCGGAAGGACTTCTACCACTCCTAGCCATAATCTGTTGCTTTCAATCCTCTACCACTGTTATTTTTTCTATTTTTTGTTTTTATTTTTGTTTTTGTTGTTTTTTCAAATTTGTAGGAACCAAATAGAGAAAGAAGCAACTACCTAGCTTAGTCGTAATACTCAAATGTAGGTATGACGCTGAGTAAGAGAGAGTTTCATCTACCAAGTCAATTCTTTTATTTTTCTCACGTGCAATTATTGGTTACCAAAGTATTGTCACATGGTGCCTTCTTCGATTAAGTTTGGTTTACAGGATAGGGCTTATCGCTTATCCCATTTACATTAATGGTTTGTCAAATAGTATGAAAGGTGGCATTAACACATAACAATGGCATGCTATACCCTTTTCTATACCCAATAATTTATCCTTCTTCAATGTTTTTGTTCAAACAACTAGGAATGCTTGAAAACTAAGAGCATCTCCAATAGAGATGTTAACTTTATGTGTTATATGACAAAAAATTACAAGTGAGACCAAAACTAAAATAAAAAATAAAAAATCAATCCCTATGAAACAAATTGCTTGAAATTTTTTGCACCATAGAATTATATTAAAACAGAGAATTTGTTTAGCTTAGTAAAATTCAGTATCTTACCGACACTAGATTGGGGGGCTGCCTCCCTCGGTGCCTCCATATCGACATCAAGTGGCTGTGAGTGTTGGGTATCCACATTGTCATGTAAATCCCCATTTGGAACAACAATTGCCTCGTGCGAAGGTTGAAGAGATGACTGCGCCAATCGTTTTGGTGGCATTGGTAAGCCCTAAAAAACATAATACAAAAGCATAAACAATAAATACATAAAAATGGATAAGTAAAGATATGTATATGGAAACCCATCAAGGCCACTGTTGATATTTGTAATCTGATCCAGTCCACTCCTTTTCTTCCCAAGACTGGTCCTGACAAGTGGTTGCTTTGAATATTTTTAAAATGGTCAGGTAAAGGGTGTTGTCACTCAAAAACCTGTAGGCAAGTTGAGTGGTTGAGTGGTTGTGAGCTACCAGTAGTTCTAATATCTTTAATTGGTTTTTCCTAATTGTGTGCTTTGCAAGTTGTCAATCTGGTGTTTCCAACATGGTCAAATTATGTCTTAATTCGTTATACATTTGTGTTCCAGCTAACTTACTCCTACAGTTTGTTTTGGTATGCATATTGTTGTATGTAGGATGTATATTTTCTAGTTTTATTTTATGACTTATTCATCCAATAAAGTATACGGAAATATAAAGATAGTATTAACAAAGCATCGTTAACAAATATATAGCTATCGGTGACATAATAAAAAAAAATGAATGGCCATACATATAGTACCTCATCGTCAACACTTTCAAAGGACTCAGCATCAGTGTCATCCTCATGATCTGACGGTATGTAGTCATCATCATCTACCCTAATTTTCTTTCCCTTTTGATGAACACGATTGGGCTGAGTAGAACCCATCAAAGAAGCTGCTAAACAGTTCAATTGTAGAGCATCCATTTTCTTTTTATTCTTCTTGATTGTCTTATTTCTTTCCATTTCGTACTCTGTTCACTTTTGTTTCGCTAGAAAACCTGGTTTGAGCCATTGTTTCTCCCCTTTGGCCATTTTGATAACTAAAAAGCATAAATTGATATAAAACATAAAACATAAAGCAGAATATTTACTTGAAGAGACACAACAAAATATAGCATAACCATGTAATGCATTAAAAACATATGTCCATATAGAAACCTAAAAAAAACAAAAACTACATATCATAATCCATATCAGGTTCCATATCAAGATCCATATTCAATGTTGATCGGGACAACTGAGTTAATGTTTTCTTGTTGGAATGCATCATTAAATTCTGGTTGATCTGGTGGTTCTCCATCACCAACCTTTGGCACATCAAACACACCTTTATGTTGGACCCGTTGCACGACTTGCCAAGGTTGCCCCCATTTGGTGTCATTCAGGTAGAACACTAGCTTAGTTTGACTAGGCAAGATAAAAGGGTCAGATTGATACCATCGGCTTGTGACATCGATGCTTGTGCAATATGTGTCAGCTCGTACTGTTCTACTTCTACCAGTGTTACTGGTTGTGTACCATTCACATTGAAACAAAACAACTTTATTTTGACACATGTACTCAAATTCCCAAATATTGCACAAGTGACCGTAGAATTCGCGCATCTCTCCCTTGTAGTCCCCTTCGGTAAGCACACCATTGTTTTGACTCTTACGACGATTGTCTAATTCCTTTGTGTGGAATCTGACACCATTGATTATACAACCCGAGTACTCTTTCACTAGCAAATTAGGACCATTCGCTAAGGACCACAATTCTTCGGTTGCTTCTGGTGCCTCATCAACTCTCAATCTATTTATCTACATCCACATGCAATGTGCAACACTTGAATTATGTTAGTAATGTTTGTATTTTATACAAGCCTAATAGTGTTTGGCCAATTGTGAATATTAAAAATGACTTACATATTCTTTGAACCACTTTGGAAATTCCTTCTGTTGTATCTGAGTTATATCTTGTCCACTGGGAATTTGTAACAAATTCCTGTGTTCCCTACTCAAATTGTTTTGGTTAATGTGTGAAATACTACTATTATTAATGACTAGTAACATGATAATTGTTACAATATATATAATTATAAGAAACACGTACTGAAGATACTTCTCTATCTCAGGGCTATTGTATAATAAGAACCAATGAGCAATATCATGAAGTTCCTATGACATCTCAACATGCTTTCTGATTTGGCCAATAGGACGAGCAGTTTCGGTGAATATTATCAAACCTTCACGATGGACTCCATTATCTTCATTTCGTGCATCTCGATTATGTACGGTTTCAATCCCTTCAAGATACATTGAGCAAAAAGTAATGCACTCCTTGACAGTGTAAGCCTCTGCAATAGAACCTTCTGGTCGAGCTCAATTGGTGACAAACTTTTTCAAAGATCCGGGAAACCTTGAAGAGATAACCAATTAGGAGTATGGTTAGGCACACAACATAATCTATACCTTTCATTTGAAAGTGCAATTTTAGAAATTACCTTTCAATCGGGTACATCCACCGATATTGCACAGGTCCTCTGAGAATAGTCTCACGTGGCAAGTGAATGGCCAAATGAACCATCACATCGAAGAAGGCTGGAGGAAAGATCTTTTCAAACTTACATAGTATGAGTACTATACGTTCCTCTAATTTCTCCATTTCACTTCGTTTCAGTGTCCTTGAGCATAGATCTTGGAAGAAACTACCTAACTCAAAAAGTACTGTACTGATCTCTTTATCTACGTAACCACGCATCCCAATAGGAAGAATCCGTTGTATAAGTACATGGCAGTCGTGGCTTTTCAATCCTGTTAATCTACCATTTTTTGCATTTACTGATCTCGAAATGTTTGCCGCGTACCCATCTGGATACTTGACTGATTTCAAGAATTCAAAGAAACCCTCTCTCTCTTTAGGGGTCAATGAGAAGCTGGCTCGCGGCTTCACATATGATCCATCGGGATTTGTTGTCAGCCACAATTCTTTCCTTATATTCATGTCTTCTAAATCCATTCGTGCCTTATCTGTATCCTTGTTCTTTCCATCAATTCCCAACATCGTTCCAAAAACATTTTCACTAAAGTTCTTCTCCACATGCATGACATCAATGTTGTGTCGAAGCCTCCTTTTCTTCCAATACGGTAGCTCATACAAGATGCTTACCTTTGTCCAATTTGGGTTTTGACGAGATCTTTTCCTGTTGCTTGGATGTTTTCCATATGTGACACCCGTCACGCTGCCCAATTGTTCTTCAATCTTTTCTATCGGTATCACCAAAGATCTCTTTCGTTTTTCATGCTTGCCATTATATGCTCTACTCTTTCGCCTTTCTGGGTGGTCATCAAGCAAGTAGTATCGACGGTTACTATACGCAACCTTACTTCTTAAAGATTCAAAATATGGTTCATCATTGCAAGTGTAACAACAGTAATGACCCTTTGTTCTCCATCCAGAAATGTCACCAAATGCGGGCCAATCATGTATCGTCCACAGCAAAGCTGCACGCATGCAGAAAGTCTCACCAGTCGAGGCATCATAGGTTAATGTACCATTTTTCCATAATTCATTCAATTCTTCCACTAAAGGTCTCATGTAGACATCAATATCAATTCCTGGTTGTGATTCACCAGGAATAAGTAATGACAACATGAAAAATGGGTCCTTCATAGCCAACCACGGTGGCAAGTTGTACGGAATGAGTACGACAGGCCATAAACTATATGAGTTATTTATATTTTTGAAAGGGTTGAAACCATCAGTAGCCAACCCTAGCCTCACATTCCGAGGCTCCAAGGCAAATTCAGGATGTTGTGTATCGAATTCCTTCCACTCATCACTATCTACAGGATGCCTCAATACACCGTCATCTAGACGTTTTTCCTTGAACCATTTCATATCCTCGGCTCTATTCCTCGACATGTACAACCTTTTCAATCTCGGTGTTAACGGGAAGTATCGAAGAACCTTACGAGAGATCTTCTTACCTCTACCATGATTTGTCTTGTATCTAGAAGCCTTACAATTTGGACATTTATCCAATGTTGCATTCCCCTTCCAAAAGAGCACACAATCGTTTACACAAGCATCAATGAGCTCGTATGACAAACCCAATTCACGTAGTATTTTTTTAGCTTCATAAGTTGACTTTGGAACCAAATTATCCTTCGGTAAAAGTTTTGTTAAAAACTCTAGCATCATGTCAACTGACTTATTACTTCAATGGTTTGTTACCTTCATATTAAGTATCTCGATGACAAATTTTAACAAAGTGTAATTTGTGCAACCTAGGTACACCTCACGTTTGGCATCATTCAATAATTTATCAAAAGTGTGAACCTCCTCCTCTTGAGTTGTATTAGTTGATTCCCCTCTTATTCGATCTTCCACTAAGGCATCAATACCTCCCAAAACCTCATTGCCCTTAATGGGTATATCATGATGATAAGCCTCGTTTGATTCACGGGGTTCCCTATGCACGTGCTAGATAGTGTAAGTTGGAATAATCCCATGTTGCAGCAAAATGAATTTGAACAATTTGAAATTTTTGACGAACAACATTCACACACTTTCGACAAGGGCACAAAATTTTACCATCTCGATCGATAACCGCCATTGCAAAACAGGGAAATGATATTACCCCATCATTATATGCCCGACTTATCCTTCCATCAACTGTGCTACCTAATGCAATCCAACTCTTGTCCATGTCTGACTATGCCGAGTTAATTAAAGTTAGGTGAATATGACAAATTTTATATAGAAAATATATATATATATTTCAATTAAAAAAAATTTCAAGTCCAATGATTATACTGAGTTATATAAATTACAACCACACATAAATCAAGTGAGAAAATAGCTAAAGCAATTTAGCGTAAACAGATGAAGTATTCACAACCAAAACATAAACCACAGCAAAATAACCATCAATAAGAAGACAAATATCATAAGTCAGAGAAAATTTAACCAATAAAGCAGTGAGCTGAGAGTAAAAAGCAGATAACATGGGACAAAAAGAAAACCCACAATATGCCACATTGAGTTTCTAAAGCAGTCAATTTAAGTACTCAAATATCCAAATGCAAAATGATATGATTGAACTACACGTATTTGGAAAAATATATATATGCCCCGAATACCAGAATTGACAAATCTATCAACTAAATTGGGATATTGAAAAAATAAGACATTGGGAAACAATAACTATTCTGGCTCACATTTCACTCGGTAAACAAAATGTGATTAAATTATGCAGAGGAACTTAATAATGTACTTAAGGAGCTTTGCATATAAGAAATGAACGATGCCAATAGAATTGATAGCCACATGCGACAATTCCAATGAATGCCCCGAGACTATAATTTAGTACTTATGGCCTGTTACTGCAGTTAATACTCTGTTTGATTTTCTCTTTACTCAACTATATACGAAGTCCAGAGAAGTTAAAGCAAGATATGCTAATTTAAGGGTGTAATATTCCAATTTTCATTAAATTGATAGTTGTGAGAGAAAAAATAATTAATTAATATGTAATATATAATATTTTATCTTATTGATTATTTTAATATTTTTTATTTTTATTAACTATTTTAGCCAAAATCTATCATCCCAAACATATAGACTCAAACTCCCCTAAAAACTTAGAAATGCACATGAGAGAGAGGACTGGGGCCACTGTTTTGTTTGGGAAGTGTTGGATTGGAGATGATAACAGTGAATGGTTTGTAAGAAAAAGTTGAAAACCCTTGAAAGAGAGAATAAGGTCACAAAGGGAGCTAGTAAAAGTAATTGAAAACATAATTAGCAAATAAAGTATATAGCGTAACTTTAAACTTAATCTCACCTATTTTTTTAGCAAAAATTAAGATTTGTTGATGTAAAAGAAAAGGTTATAAAAGTACAC